ATCTGTGTGTAAGGTCTGTTGTGTAGCACTGGCCTTAAAAGTAACGAGGACAGCCTGGGATATGAAGTCCTGTCAGATTTCAATCAAGGTCTTAATCCTAGAGATGAATCTTGACCACTGATGAAAGTATCTGATTTATCATCCTGTGGCTGATCAACATGTGCACACACATGTACTCTCACACTCCACTGCTCTTCATCTATCTGTCAATTTCAGTGACATTTTTTTCTACCTATCACTTTTATGGCATCTGTTAAAGAAGTAGTCCACAGTGTTTTATCAGGCTAATAACTCATCTTTATGTGGCCAGCAAGGTGTGCCAATACTTTGTGCTCATCTTTAACAAAAAATGAACTGTGTAAAGAAATTTGAGAATTTCTTAGATCACATAAGTTAATATAACAGCTAAATTCACAATTTAGAACTCCTGACTCTTTATTCTCTGGTCATAGTGACTTTTACCACATATAATGAAGAATAAATGACTATATTTTGTTGCAAATATTTGGTTTTTTAAAGGAAAAATTTTAAAAAGGGGCAGAAACTTTGAAGCATTGTTGGTAGGAGTACTGTTAAGTTACTTGCACTAAATGGGATAATTAATGTAACTACATAATTACACAAATGTAATTACATATTTTCTTGGTAATGCATGCAGTATTGAAAGGTGTCCCAATACAGGTGTTACACTGCAATATAGAACACTGTTGTCTAATATACACATGATGGGGATAAAGACATTTATTCTGAATTATTTAGACAAGCTGGTACTGTATTGTGCTGTCCTTGGTCATATCTGAGACGTCCATCTATTGTGCTGTATTAACAAAGTGACTTTAATTCAGCATGTTGCAGCAGAATATTGGGCACTGGGCAGTGCTGCAGAAGGGAAGGCAACTTGCAGTAGCATTAATTTCAGCTGCAGTTTCTGCTCCCACTGGTTGTGATAGTAGTGCCCATCATGCTGCTATGCATCATTCTGCATACAGAGTTTATCACTAATTTCTTGCTTGTCTGGAAGAATACCTGCTCCTTCCACCTGATCCTCCTTTTCACCTCTTTTTGTTTCTCTCAGGATCTTTTCAAAAGCAAACATAGAACGTCTTTATCAGTTCTCAGACAATATAGATAAGAATTTTACTCTTCCACCCATTCCTCTCTTTATCTATCTCCCTTCATCTCCAGGTTTTCCTTTCATCCTTGGTGCAAGACAAGGAATCAATTTGCCAAGAATTAGTAGCTGACACCCAAGGGCCTGGATTTGGGCCCACTGAGTTGTGGGAGGGGTGTGTAATGTTAATGAGTCAGTGTGGATCTGTTACCTCTAGTGTCCCAAGGACTGCTTTGCTGGCTAGATAAAGAGCTAGAGACTAGACCAAAAACCTGTGTTACTCTTGGTGTGTTGCAGGTGATTGTTTAGTAGTTGTTGAAAATGTGTTCATTTTATTCTGAGTGTTTAATTAGAGTGGTAGTACAGTAAGTACAGGATTATCTCTCCCAGTGGCTCAGATATTGTGGCAGCATTCCTGAAAAAAATACCACAGATTTCTGTAAGAGTAGATTGGATCTTAAGTGGTAAATTTATTTTTATTTGCTTTCATCAGCCATACTGCTTAATTCAAGATGCTAAACTGAGTGCTTCACACAGCCAGGTGCACAACCCTCCTTGGAATTCATTTAACCAGGGAAGAATACCTTCTATGAAATTGTGTTGTGTTCTCCACCTGTCAAAGTCTTCCAGGGGCTCAGAAAATAAACAGTACAGAAATTATTTTCAAAAGCAGAAGCTAACATTTAGTTGCAAATTGCAAAGATCTGAGAAATGCTGGCAAAAGTTTTCAGAAAGGTAGAGCACTTGCAGCTTAAGGTAATTTTCCCCTGTGAGATCAAGTCCAGCTGTTTCAAGTCAGATACCCAAGAATCAAAGTTTTCACCATTCATTATGAAAAGCTGGGATTTAATCACTGGAGAGCTTTGAAAAGTGTGTTTACAGTTTTAAGTGTTTTTCTGACTATTTTAATCCAATTTTTATTTGCATATGCATCTTATAGGCACTTTCTCCTCCATCTATTTTTGTGCTGCTATTTCCAGTCCCTATTACTTGTGTAGTTGATTAAAATGCTTCCATTGAATACTTGAAGCAGTGAAATTCATGGAAAGTGGTGTCTAACTTATCTTTCCTCCCCTTCTTACTCATTCTCTGCAAGTAGAATTTCTCCATATATTCTGACTCATAACCTTATGAATTTTTCCCCATTTCAGACTTTTAATATGAAATAATTTATTTATTTTGAGAGTTTATTTGCTCATGTCTATTTTTTCTGTAATTTTCTGTATTTTTCACTCGGCTTCTGCTCTGTAGGTGCTTGGACATAGCCTTAGTTCAACATGAACACCTAGCCTGCACGTCAGACCACTGAACCCCCTGTTAGCATTGCTGGCCAATTAATGAGATCTTTTTTGCAGCTTTAATGGAGAATTCCAGTCCTGTCCTTAGTTTGCCAGACACAACAGATTAGAAAGCAGTCTGCTTTTTCATTGAGGCTTATTTCCCTATCTGATACACAATATATGAGTCATTTGCACATGGGACATGGGTTTTTGATACCAGAAGCACTCTTTTTGGCCTTGCTTTCTTCCTGACTTCTGCAAGAATGGACTAACTCATCTCTAATGCTGCTTTTTTTACTTGACTTCTGTGGAAGTCCCCAGAGATGAATTTGGTCCAGTTAATAAAATATAAACAGAAGCCTGCAGAAGCTTCATTTACAATTCTGTGGCATTTGAAGTTTTAGACATAGAGACAGTTGAGTGCAAACAATGGTAACTTTATATACAGGAGTTGTTGATTTCAAGTTTGAATTTGATATAATGGTTAGAACTGCAGTAAGCACTGGTGAAGTTGAACAGTGCTGACTCCACGTCTGTTTTGATGTGATGAGAGTGCCCCCTTGAACTGTAAAGTGGGGTGTTACTGTGACAAACATAGCTGCCACTGGCAGAACAAATTGCACAAAGCTGAGACTGAAGAGTTCCACCTGACAGAAGCAATAGTATGATGGGGTTTTTGCAAACTGGAAAACATTTTCTGGTGCTCGCACCATAAACAGAAGACAGTGTAAAAACACTGTCTAGGAAGGTTATAAAACATTCAACTTCTGTAAGAAGGCAAAAATGAAAAGGTAGAAGTACTATGAAGTACCCATACAGTATTGAGTCGAGTGCATCAGCAATCACTGGTTGCTTTTTGATCAGTGGTGTTACACCCACTGGGTGTGTATCATTACCAGTAAATGTGGTATCCGATTTTGTTGTCTGTACATATTTCATACTCGTACTACTTTGTTTTTGGTTTTTTTTTTTTTTAAATTGGTTTGATGCTGCTGGAAAGAGCTGTGGCAAATGTGGTTGTTTATTAGAAAGATGAGACGAGTATCCCTAATTTCCGCGCGGAGCTGAGCGCTGCTGTGCGCCCGTGCGGGGTCCGGAGCTGCCGGGCTGAACGCGCCATCTAGCGACCAGCGGGGATGGCCGAGTTAAAACAGGAGAAAGAACAGAAAGGCAGAGGCAGACGAGTTTTTAATGAATTTCTGCATCAGCAGGGCAAGTGGATGACGTTTGACAAGTCCCTATAGTGCCTTATTTTTTCTCCCTAATTAACAGTCATTCCTAGATCGTTATTTGTTTTTAAAAATGCCATTGTTTCTTTTGTTTGTTCTCCAGATTGAAATCACCTGCTGTGGCAGGGTATTTGAGCAGAAAGTTAGTACTGTATTCACAAAGCTTCAGAAGTCATTATAACATCAGTTTACTGCCTACATCTGAAATGCTGATTCTCAAAAACTTTTTTCAAATGTGTAGAACTGCCTGCATTTCTTAGAGTCATAGAATGATCTGGATTGCAAGGGATCTTTAAATGTCATTCAGCCCAACCTGCCTGCAATGAGCAGGTGTTGTCATCTTATTGTAGGGGCTCCATACTGTTGTCTGCTTATCACAAATGTTTCATGCCTTCTTGGTGTTTCTTGTGGGCAGCTCCTCAGGGCACTGACTCTTTCTCTTCACAAAGCAGCCAACTGGCTCCAGCTCCCTTCTCAACAGACACCCCACTCTGTTATAGCATCTTCTTCTCATTGCTTACAGCTGTGGCCTGTTAAAAGTCCGGCCTGTTCCTAATCTTTGATAATTGGCCCAGCTGCAACTCCTTAGGGGTAAGATTACTTCCTACACTATCATGATTTGCTTATATTCTATCCCCTTACAAGCAGGGACATCTTCATCTAGATCAGATTGCTCAGAGCCCTGTCCAACCTGACCTTGAGTGTTTGCAGGGATGGGGAGTCTACAACCTCTCTGGGTAATCTGTTCCAGTGTTTTACCACTCTCAGTGTAAAAGTCCTCTTCCTTAGATCTAGTCTCAATCTACCCTCTTTTAGCTTAAAACCATTAGCCATTGTTTTATCTCAACAGGCCCTACTAAAAAGTTTATCCCCATGTTTTTATAAGCCCCCTTTAAGTACCAGAAGGCTGCAATGAGGTCTCCCATCCCTCACTGTCCATTGCCCACCTGTCCTAAATGTAACTGCCAAGCCTCACTCTTGGTTCTATGTAAGTGGTGTGCAAATCGGATTTAGTGCAAAACAGTGGCTAATATGGGGGCCAGTAATTTTTGTTATCAATCAGGGAAGGAGTTATTTGGGTCAGCAAACACCTGCTAGCTGTATAGATGAAGAGAAGAAATGCACACGGAGGACCTTTGTTTTCTGTATGCAATGTTTACAAATCAAGTTAAATATTGAAAGCAACATTTTGATGTTGTTTCTCTCTGGAAACACCTATGTGATTCAGTCCAAGTCACTATTGCTTTGAAAATCAACTGTCTGTGTGGATCCCATCTAATTAAGTACTTGTCATTTTGATTTAAAAATAACTTCTTTGAGATTGTTGGCTTAAGGAAATTGTTACTATTTTTCTGTCCTTTTTTTTTTTTTTTTTCCTAGGATATTAAATACAACGTTGTTTGAACTGTATGAAGCTCTGGGCAATTTTCCTGCCTTGTGGGTCTTCAATGTGCTGCTTATGGTTCTTCAAATTCTGCACTGTTTTTGGTCTTACCTAATCATAAAGGCAGCCTACAAAGCTATTTCAAAGGGCAAGGTAAGACAACACAGTTCTGTTTCATGATTTTTATTTTTCTATTATCAACAGAAGTCACTTTTTGTTTGGGCTCATTTCTTTTTTTACTAATCCATAACATGCTACTGAAGACACATCTTGTTTTAGATAAACTCTTCCTTCCTTTCCTGGAAACTTTTTCCCACTCCTAATGATTGTCAGGTTAATAATACTCTGTATAGTGATTGTCTTTATATGTGCTTCTGCACTTCTTTTTTACAGTGTAGTACACTGAACTAAACTACATTAGGGAAATCAGGTTAAAGAAACCCAACAAGTAAACTGCTTTCTTGGGGCTGCCAGTTCTGTTTTTCTTCTTTATAGTAGTTGTTAGCAAAATGTTCATTTCACAGCTGGAAGTGATAGCAGTAATAATACAAAATGAAATTCTGCTGTGTTTGCTAGTGGCAAAATTACTGATCACAGCCTCTTGTGGGTTTTGGTATTAATGAGGTACTGCAAAGAGCTCTGTATTTTCTTTCTAGTATTCCCAGAGCAAGACTGTTTGGGCTAGATTTTGTCTTGCTGCCAGTGGTACATTTGACAGGAAGGTGTCACCCCCAGAAATACATTACAGTTGCTGTGCAGACACAGGGCTTGTGTGCAGATGGTAGAACTAATCCTTGCAGATCATGTAAAATCAGGACATTTTGCCCTTAAAGAGGAGAGCATATTGATGTGACTGACCCCAAAGTGAATGGGATTGTTCTCCAGAAAATTGCTATCTGTGAATGTACTTGGGAGTTCAGCCATGCACTGGCAGAGCCCAGAATCTGCCACTCCATCTGTGAAAGACAGTGCATTCACGAGCTGAATTTTGCCTGGAAGGCACACTTTAGTCTGCTCTGCTTTTAGAAGTTATTAGCCTCAGCTGTCCTGTCTGAATTAAACCAGTGACTTCAAAGACTGCTTCCTCCTGTCTCTTACTCTGCTTGTTTCCTTTCCCTTGTGCTGTGCTGGAAGGCTGGGAAGTGGAACCCCTTGCACGTAAGTTTCTTTAAATTTACTATGCAAAAGCTTTATTCTGACAACACTGGTGTTTGTGGTTTGGGATGCTTTGGTTCTTTTAATTTGTGGTTTCTGCTTTGTATTCATCCATTGCTTGTATTTATATATTTAAGTAAAGACTATTTTGAAAGGCTGTTTTTTACTTCTTGGCTATGCATCACATAAAACCATTAAAACCCACTTCTATCTGTAGTATCTGGGTGCTATTATGCTTCACCTTTTTTACATACAGAGATTAGATCGATAGAGATAGATAAGGTAGTATGTGTGTGTGTTTACACATACATATATATATATATATATATGTATGTATATCTGTATCTCAGCAGGATAAGCATCTGCTCTGTCAGCATTCAGGACACACACGTGAGACTGTAATTCCTTCACCTTGTAGTTCTAACAATTGCACAGGAGAAAATTGAGATTGTTACAGAGTTAAAGCAGTGTCAGAGAGTCAGACACTTGCAGTAACACAGTGACCAGTTTAGAGATGGATATGTATGACATATATACAGAGGATTAATTTTCCTTGAGATTTTAACTTCCTCATTCTTTCTATTTCTGCAATAAAAATAAAAACTATTTTTACAACACATTACAGATATCTTACAGATAAGTACTAAGTACTGCAAGATGTGTTGCATTCATATCAGGTTTTAAGTGCAAAGACCCTGCTTCGTGGCTGCATTTTAAAAACAAAAGGAGCAGATCCCATGTTTAGAAGAACTGGCTACAGCACAGAATCTTATTTTGATTTTTGGCTTTATTGAAGAACCCTAGCAGAAAAATTGGCAGTGAATCTATCAAGAGAATTTCAGTGGAAGCAGAATTGTTCAGTCATCTGCTCTGCCATAGATCCCAGGTGCTCAGTAATGTGTGCTGAGACCATTCTCTTCTGTCTGATGAGGGTATAATTCTAAGTGTATTTCTGTAATGCCACCAACTGCAATACAGAAGTTCCTTTATATGAAAGACATTGAAGTAACCTACTAATTGAAGCTCTGTAAAGTATGGAACCAAATTTCTTTCAGCTGAAGTCCAGTTTCACAGGTGTCAGAATTGTGGGCTTCCTAGACATTGTCATTAAAAACTTTACTTACTGGAAGCTGTATGGAAACTGTTTTCTTCTTTCACTGGTTCCAAGCAGAATGGTATCACTCAGGTACTGTGATATTGCAAGGGCAACACTGAGAGCTCCAAAGGCAAATGGCTTTTTCTGAGATGAGAGTGGAATTGTCAAGAAGAGTTTCCAAAGGAGAGGAGAATTACTGTAAGCAAAAATTACACAGTGGCCCTGTTCTTTAAGCATTTTTAGTTCTTCAGAAAAAAGACTCACCATGTGTTTGCCCCCTTTTATGTCCATTTGCTATAGTGAAGTCAGCTGTAATTGCCTGATTGTGGCAACCAGCAGATGGATTGTGGATCGATGATGAAGAAATTGGGATGCTCAGCTCTACAAACAGGAGTAGAAACAGGCATGAAAATGGCATCCTTAGAGCTGCATGCAGGTTAAACTTCAGACCTCTTTTTGTTGATGCTGGTTCTTTTTTGTATTGTATCTGGTGGACTCTTGCTAATTTTGGAGATTTTCAAGATTTTTCGAACAAGTCAGCTGAAAATTAGCAGGAAACAGCAACTAAGGTCCATCTGTTTCTGAAACACCTTTCCAGTGACACAATGGAGCACACAGTTGAACTGTTATTCCTGTTTTAGAGACTGAACTGGACTATGTCCACATCTTGCAAGTGCCATTCTCACCACTTGTCTGAAGTCAGAGACTGGAGTTAGGTGATGAGGTTTACTTCAAGCAGTGCTTGTGTCTCCTCCTGCGAGCACTCAACACTGTTTCCTGGAGCCACATGGTCTCCAGTGAGTTGGGAAGTAAGGGGCAGGAAGTTGGGTTGAACATTTTGTATTATCAGGTCAAAGAGCAGCACTCCAAATGAAGGACAGTTGTAGTTAGTAGGAGGGCAGGGGGACTGAGCCTGGGTTGAATTTGGGAGCTTGGATTGTTGTTTACTTTGGTCTGTACAAAACCCTTTGCCTTGAGTACTTGGCCATACTGCCTTCAGTGCACCAGTGCTGAGTTCTCAGCCTGCCTTTGCACATGGCATATTTATGTGCAGATATCTGTGTTTGAAGTGAGTGCAGGCAGGCACAGGCAGAGAAGTGTGCCAGAGTTAAAATCGCTTTCAAAACTCAAATTGAAAAAATGTGTGAATTCTCTGATTCTCTTGAACCAAAGCGCTGAGTTGTTTCCTTACAGTCACCTACTGCCCACTTCTTTTCCACATTGTGCAGGTAGCAAAGGATGCCCGAAGTGACGTTGAGTCAAGCTCAGATGAGGAGGAAACAGTACCTCGCTCCAAGGGCCCGCACAGCACGGTCGCCACCAACGGCACCAGCGGCGCCAACGGGACAAATGGCTATCTCACTGCTGCCACTTCCTCAGAGGAGCATTAATCCTTCAGTTCAATCATGAGACACGAACCGAACGAACTGTTTGCTACTGGAAGTAAATTATAAGTCGTGAATGCAGTTTATTCATGTATTTCAGCATCAGAAAAAAATTAGGAGTATCAAAGCATTCTGATAGCGCACTGCCATATTTCCTGTTTGTGAATGAAGACAGCACACCATTCTGTATACGTAGGCATGCTGTATGTGTATGTAACTGACACAATGGGAGCAGTATTTTCACTTGTACTGTCTGAAATATTATTTATTTTTTATTCTTTTGGGAACTTCTGGACAAAAGGGAATATCCATTCTCAAACTTTGTGTCTTGGATTCTCGGTAACGGAGAGCATCATGCTCAGATCTCTTCTGTCCATCCCTGTTGGTTTTGCTGAATCTGCTATAAGTAATAGTTGCTTGATTTGTTACTTACAGTAAGATAGAACATAGCTTTATAGGTTTTAGATCTGCTTCAGATATTTTTGCTATCTTTGTGTTTTAAAGTACTGGCTTTGAAATTGCCTATCAAATCACAGTTAGTGTTCTTCCAACATAATTGGGGGGGGGGGAAAGTGGTAATTGTGGGATATTATTTTAGCATAATTTAAAATTCAATTTGGTGGTTAATTGCATTAGAAGTAGACTTGATTTGTTGTGCAAATACCCAAAAGCATTTTTTGTCAGCACTTTGGATAAATTTATTACCTTTTTTTTTTTGGCCTTTCAATTTTTGACCTCTACAGATTTTAGCTTTTTGCAGAGATTCCATGTAAAAAGGTGTTTCTTCAAATGCACCATTCTGAATCCAGACTTAACTCCTGAAATTGTTCTTGCACAATTCTTGAGAACAGGGGTGTAATGAAAAAAACAGCAGATGAAAAGTTCATTTCTTCCTCGGACTCAGCTCAGTCTATGTATTGTTCTCAAAATTATTGCTACTTCCTTGGCAGGGTGAAGAGAGGGAAGACAGAATGTCATACATTTCTAAAATTAGTTTATTTACATTATTTTATTTTACATATGTGAGAACTTGAGCAAAATTCACTCAGCATAATTCACAGCAACCTTTGAATGCTCAGCAGTATTTCATCACCTCTACAATAAAATTAGGGGGCGTTTGTAAAATAATTTTGCATTCTTTTTTATCCAAGATTTACAAATAGTGTCCCAAAGAAGACATAATAACACCCTAAGTAAACATCTTTTCAAACATTATATGCATACTTCTTCCAGTCTCTAGATCAAAGTTTAGTGTAATGTAGGATGCTAAGGATCATACAGCTCTTGCAGGACACTCTTCTGTGATTTGTGACAGCAGTGCCAAAAGTAGGCAGGGTTCTTGGGTAACAGACTCTATGCAACCTACTGTTCAACAGTATTGTGTGTGCACACAGAACCAATGTGCTTATAGACCAAAGACTGACGTACACACACACACAAAAGTTAAAAAAATAAAGGAAGGGAAAAAAAATCTCAAGTGTGTCTTCTATATCCAAAGGGATTGGAGTGCTGTGTTCAGCTGGAAACCTGAGCCATGAGGTAATTTCTGATTCCTTCCACCTATGCAAATAGTAAAATATAGATGGTTTCTGATGCCATAAAACATGTTTAAAGATGCTGTTTTATATAGACTTCATTGAAGAAAGTTGTGTTGTCACTTCTTTCTTTTTAAGAAAGAGATTTGTCCTATTCTACTGGTCACTCTTGAAAACTTCTAAAACTTTTATTTTCCATAGAAACTCCTGTGTGTTAGGAAAAAGGAGGTGTGCTAAAAGCAAGATTGGAATGGCATGAATGGAAATAGTACCTCAACTTAGTAAATAATAAAGGTAAGAAAACTCAGAAAGTGTAAATCACAAAAGATCTGTCAGTTCTACTACCCACAGAGCATCTTTTGAAAAACGCAGATAACTTTGTAATCCAGCAGCTGCAGAGCTTAAATGCCCATGAGTATATCTGAAGGAGCAAGGGAGCCTTACTTAAATCTCCTTCTCCCCAGAAAGTTTCTCTGCCTCTGAATTTTTTCATGTCTCCTGTGCATTTGATTTCATACAGTTTTCTGCAGGGCAGGTTATACATGTGAAAATATGCTGATTGCAATGGAAAGTATCCTATCTATGGTGTTTGCAGCTGTGTAGTAATTACTGAAAAGACAATTCCAGGATTTTAAAATAAAACCATCCTGGTATCAATTAAATTAGGATTATGATTTTTGAAATCTGACCTGCTAAAATGGTAATGGAGAATATCAGTTTAATTCTGTGGTGTTCATTACTGCCTCCACTGAACCATTTCCCTTCTGCAAAGATGGTTACAAAAATGGCATTCTGGCAAAATGTTTTGTCTCACATGAGAACAGAATGTTGCTCTGAACTGTCAACATGCACAACATAGACCACATGCGGCAATGTTGGTGATGCAGGGCATAGAGCAGTCTCCAGCAACAATCCCTGTGCCAGAGGCCTTTAGTCCTTGTTGGTCCTCTTCAGCAATGCTCCGTAATGTTCATTCAGATGTAGAGTCAAGGCTACAAGCCTTGAGATGATTTACCATCACTACATATGCTGTTAGGGAATCACAGAGTCATAGAATGTTAAGGTTTAGAGGGGACCTTGAAGATCATCTAGTCCCAACCCCCCTGCCATAAGCAGGGGCACTTCACCCTAGGCCCGGTTGCTCAAGATTTTATAAAACCTGCCTTGAACAGTGCCAGGGTTGGGGCATCCACAGCTTCCCTGGGCAAGCTGTTCAGTATTTTACCAGCCCTGAAGTAAAGAATTTTTTTCTAATAGCTAATCTAAAATTTTCTCCTTTTTGCTCCAGTCCTCTTATCAACTTCATAGCCCTTCTCTGGACATGCTCCAACAGTTCTATGTCCTCCTTATGTTGGGGACACCAGAGCTGGCTGCAGTACTCTGGGTGGGGTCTCACAAGAGCAGAGGGACAGAATCCCCTCCCCTGTCCTGCTGCCCTCACTCCTCTGGATGCAGCCCAGGATCCATTTGGCTTTCTGGGCTGTGAGTGCACCCTCATGGCTCACGTTGAGTTTTTCACCAACCATCACTCCCAAGTCTTTCCACAGGGTTGTTCTCAATCACTTCTCCACCCAGCCTGTAGGAGTGCCTGCGATTGCCACAAGCCAGGAGTAGGACTTTGCACTTGGCTTGCTTGAACTTCATGAGGTTTCCATCGGCCTCCCTCTCAAGCCTGCCAAGGTCCCTTGATCCCCACTGTTAAATGGTGCATCTGGGATTGAAACTCTTCCTTTGAGGTTTAAATTCAGTTGCATCTGTGAAATGCTAAAGCATGTATGCAGTTACCTTGGTTCAGCTAACACCCAATGACATAGCCCCTATCATCCTGGCCTTTTGGATTCTGTTCGTAGCAGTTAGTATAAACTTCATACCGATATGTCTGGAAAATAAGTGAGGTAAGAGAGATTCAAATGACACATGTGGGGGAAAAGGGTAAGAGGAAGCCTTAAGAACTTCACCAACCTTTGCTAAACAATGATCTTTCAAGCTAGAGGTTTATTTTAAAAATTATGAATTCACACTTTTTTCTGTCTCGAGTGGGAAGGACCAAGTGATTTAGTGATCAGACATGGCAGTGTGCTTTAATTCATTGTTTCAACTAATGGGTGTGAAAACTGGCTTCATCTTCCACTCTGCAGAGAAAATGCCATGCAATTATTTCCTTTTTCATTTGAATTTGATTGCTTTTCTGATTAAGAGCTTTGCAAGGTGCATTTGGAGGTCATAGAGTATTTAGAGGTTGATTGCACATATTTTAGAAGATTGACTGAAATTATTCGCATGGTTTATGGTAAATGTGAGACCTTGAAAGGTTCTGTATATTCACATGTTTTGTAGAATTGTAATTTAGTAATTCTAGAAATGAGAGTTTGTACTCTATAACTTATCTGTCTTTGAGTTCTATGGTCCTTGTTTATGGTACAGTACATGACACAGTGGTGGAGATGTCAAAGTAGAAAAATGAGGAAATTAGAGTTTATTACTAGATAGTAAGAATTTGTCTTCTCTCCTAGACAGAGCCCAGATTACAGTAAAATAAGATTCAGGTTACCCTTTGTGTGGTGTTTCCCATATTGGCATATTTTGTATCAAAAGAAAAATACATGGTGGGTTGGTGGTTTTATTTGGTTGTTTTTCATAAAGAACAACATTGCAGAAAATGGTAAAAATACCTGATCAAACAATATGGGTGGACATTGGAGTCCTTTGGGTCTTGATCAATGTTAAGTAGTGCTAGTTTTAAAATACCAAAGTGCCCCATGCTGTTTCCTTGTTGCCCTTTTGTAGTTTTTTCTATCTGTTATTTATTTAATGATTCCAGCAGAATTGGTACAGGTGTCACAGCTTCATATCTCCTGCCTCAGCCTGTGACCATTCTGTGACCATCTGATTGCCAACGCCAAATGCTTTTTCTGAGACCAAGTACATGCACTAAAGCTTTGCTTACAGTGAAGTGATTCTTGTCTTAAATCTGTATCTGATTCAGGTGAAAATCACTTCATGGTTGTGAACAGGACACGAGGGTGAGAGCCGTGACCCTGCAGCACACGCCACTGCTGGGTGATTGAGGCGCTCCCTGTCTTACACAGAGTGCTCGGTGGGAAGCCTAATGCCCATTTCATTCATTTTCTCATTGCCACAGCCTTCTGTATCTCAGAGAAATATGGGCTACCATTGGTTTTATACAGCTGATGCTTTGGTATTTTCTTAATCTCTTTGCTACAACTCATTTTTGTATGTCTCCTATTGTCTACTTCCTGTGACATTTGTGGGAGAGGAGTATTAAAAACTTTTTACCCTTCTTGTAATGTAGACCCTCTTAGGCCTAACTTAAGTGTTCTGCAAACTACAGTTGCCTTTAAACCATGAAGCAAAACCAGTTTGTATTACTTGTTTTGATTTGAAACAGGGACCTAATGGGAACTTCAGTAAGACAACATTATTCTTTTTTCCCCTTTTCTTTTAAAAAGCTCTAGTGGAGGTTTGGAAAGATGGTGTACATGTACAGCTTTTACACTGTAAAGATTTCTGATTGTAGTTGCAATGAAAACACAGTGTTTGAGTGTGTCTCTACAGACTTCTCAATCTTTGAAATTGCTTTCAGTTAAAAAACTGGAAGAAATACCATGAAAGGATGTTTTGGAGTCACGTCAATGATCACATGTGTCAGACAAAAGGCAAAAAATACTGTCTTACATGACTTAAAATGGGTGCAACAAAACACATTTTCTGGCTTCTGCTGAGCTTCAGCTTTTTGCTGTTCTTGTTTACACAAGCTCTCATACCATACTGTGCGTGTTGACTGCTGCAAGTCAAGGGGAGGCAGATGACACATTTTCACCTGTGTTTTCATGACAATTCTGTGCTTGAGCAACTCTTTCAGAAATGTGGTGATGTGTAGGAACTCCACTGTTCTGGATACAGTGATGCACTAGCTAGAAGTCCTTTCATGTATAGCTATTGTGTGGAACTTTGGAGGTTATTTTGTCTTTTATTTGACTGGGTTTGGGGTTTTTTCTAAAACAGAGAAAAATTATTCCTCATAAAATCTCTGGAACCAACCAGTATTGTGGGCTATTTTAATTTGGAGACAGTTTCATAATAAACATAAGTATTAGAAATGTAGATTTTGTTTTCTTATTTTTTTCTATGAGATGCAGACAATGTTTTCCTTTGTTTTAGCTCAAGGACTGTTACCCACACTGTAGACTCCAACACTCTTTGGACAGATCCAAATGTGTCTTTGCTGTATTGATCACTGTAGTACTTTATGTTATTTCTTGTATGAAACTGTTTGTAACAGGAAGTGTTGGAAGATCAAGTTCTCTCAATACAAACTAAAATATTTTCATTACCAAAAAAAGGATAATTTTCTAGGATTTAAACATAAAAATTTTGCATGGTAATAACTCCTGAATGTCCAACTGAGCCCACTTTGGAAAAGCTGTCTTTTTTTAGTGAGCAGAGTTTCTTTAGAAATACACATTCAATTTTCTTTTAAGGAGAAACTGTCACTCAGCAAAGCACCCCCTACTAGCCTCTTGTGGAAGTGAGAAAAAAGAGCCACTCTTAGGAGTGGCTCTCCAAAGGAAAAGCTGCAGCTCACAAAATAAAGCCTACAAACCACCATTATCAGGCAGGCTCTGCTGCAGCATTAAAAGATGATGAGGAAGTACTTAGAAATGGGATACCTGAAAAAATTCTAGTAACTTCAGCACAAAGAAATTTAGGCAACAGTTCTCATAACACAAGTATCAAGTCATATAGGGATCTTCACACATCAGTTGAAGTTTTACACTGGAAGAGAAGTAAGCCTTTTTGCAAATGGGGTGTGCATCGTGTTAAAGAACTGTAGACCTTTAGCAATTGTAGTTGTTAATATGGCTCTGTGATAATATATAGAGGCTCTTGTGTTACATTTAATATAGCATTTCAATTCATGTTTATTGACATTTCAATTCATGTTTATTGAAGGTATTTATGAAGAGATTTACTTATGTGGAATATTGTCCAGCGGTATGTCTAATGTCTTTTGCTCCCTATGCCACATCTGCTCCTCAACTTTGCTGCACAAGGGAGAGGCAGTGTGTGCAGAGCACAGCTCAGGATAACGTCACACAGAGCAAGAGCTTTGTGCTCTGGCTCTAAGTCTGCAAAGGACCCTTTGCACAGGAAACAGTGGCTCTCCGAGGACAGCAGGAGGACGGCTGCTTCAGGAGAGTTAGAAGGCAGTGACACAATTTCCTGTAGATTTAGAAGGTGAGTGAAGGGAATCCAAATGTGTAGCTGTCCCAGATGAGCAAATTTCTGCATGACTCAGTAGCTCATGATGCTGTGATGGACAGAGGCTGGGAGCTTATGTGGAGGGAAGTTAGTCCCAGCTCTGCTAGTGTGGGTGGAGGGTTCTTGTTTCCCTAAATTGTGCTGGGGTTTTTGGTTTTTTTGGTGATCCATTCTGCTGCAGCTAGTCCTGCCCCTGGACAGATTTTACACTGTCTACTCTTGTCAGCCAGTAACCTGCTTAAGTGGGTTTCACAGAACAAGATGCCAATTTGTGTTTTATATCCACCTTCTCCAGCCCCGAGTCTGCCAAACCAATGATGATTCTTGTGGAGGGGTTTCTTAAATGCAGAGTTGTGTGTAACAATGACGTGTTCCTGAGGTTCTGACTTTCAAAGGTAACTGTTTACATGTGACACAGAACTGTTAGCTTTTGGTAACTGGAAAGTGTAATATAAAAGTAAGTATTAGAAGTTGAGTATTGAGGGTTTTTTAAGAGTAACATGACCTACTTGTAATGTTACTGCTATAGTTCACTGATCAGATGAAAAGGTAATGTACTCTTAAGCTACTGGCTGGCAACATATATTTACATTCCTAAATTATTGCTCTTTCATATACATCTGAAAAACACTACAATGAGTGAGGTTTTTTATGCTTTTTAAACATTTCAAAGTGTAAGGTGCTCTCCCTAAAAAATACTGTGCAGGCTATTTCTCAGTTTTCCAGAACAACCAAGCAAAGTCCCTGCACAACTGCCACATTTCTTGCATATTTACATCAACTTTTTGCAATCTCCCCTCACAAAATAAGTCCTGAAACCCAAAAAAGATGAAATGTGATCCTTCCTTAATTAAACTTGCGTCAGCTTTCTCACATTAATCTAACTAGCAATTTTATGTCCTATTTCTGAGCCTATGATGAAGATAACCACACCTTTTTAATTCACAGTAATTGTAATTATAATTACTGTTATAAGGTGCCTTTGAAGGAGCTGCTTCCTACTAGAAAGGCTTGCTATCTCATAGTTACTTTTGTTTAGTCCCTCATTTAGGCTTAATTTAAACTTAATTCATCCAGAGCATTTAGTTCTCATTTTTACATGTGGTTTCTCATGGATCTATCTCCCAAGTGAGATCACTGCCCATAGCTGTTACTTTATGGGACAGTGTAATCAGATTTCAGTTCCAGAAGGAATTTGCATGTAAATAGTCTAGCTCACTTACAGGTCCAACATTTGGTCCTTCAGCAATGTTGAGGAAGCGATGACCCAAGCTGTGGCACCACCTGGACTGGGTGGATGTAAATAACAGCCAGGACTGCTGTCCAGACTAGAAACAGCCTTTTTACATGATTTTTTTTAATAACTGTTCCACTTTAATACCAATTTCCTACGAACTGAATCTCATCTTTTCTAAGGCTTTTTGTTAAGGAGCATGTGAACTATTGAATTTATGTATAGTTAAGCTGTGATGGTCTGCACTACTCTTGCAACTTGTCCAAGCATCCAGCACAAACAAAGCAGCTGTTTTGCATAGAAGAACTCCTCTGTAAGATTTGACAGGTAACTATTATAGACTGCTAACTGTATTATCTGGGAGAAGAAGAATGGGTTGCTAACAGCAAAGGGAAACAGCAGGAGCAGTTGGGAACAGGAAACCATTTTTCTTGTGTAAATTGCATTCACATTGATTGTGGATTTCATATTTTGATTCAATGGGATGCCATTAGCACAACATTTAGTAAAGGTGATCCCAAGTGTACTACAGTCCCAAGCAGACTCAGAATTGTGGACTAACCTTAGAGAAGGCTGGAGCCTAAAAAAGATGGGTAATTGCTGCAGAGTTGCAGTTGACAGCATTGAGAATTGCATGCCAGAAGAGGATTTTCCTCTTTCCTTTAGAAACATGAGTTTATCAGATGGCTTATCTGCCTTTGCAATAAGTGCAGAAAAATACAGGCCAGTAAGTCATGCTGATACAATAGTAAAAAAATAAAACTACCACTTTGCTGCATTGTCTTTCCATTATAAAGTTGTGTCATACATGGAGTTACACAAGCAAAACTCTCTCATTAGCTTTGCATGGGAAGTATTAGTTGTTTGCCTGTGAGGTAAGCATTTACATTAATGTATTGTGCTGTAACTTAGCTAGTAAACCACCCATGAGGTCACCTATCACTTCAACCCATTCCTCACTTAGCAAAAAGGTTAATGTATGCAGTCTTCTCTTAAAAGCCTGATTTCCTGTATGGTAATTGCAATTGCCATCAGTATGAAATGTATGCTTGAAATGTATCAGTAAAATGAAATGTATCAGTATGAAATGCATGCTTCTAAATCAAAATAGTGATACACAGCTGGTATTCTAACAGACCTGTTTCTTTGTCCAGCCAGTTATTCCAGCTGAAGCTGTGGTGTAGAAGATAATGGATAATGAAGAATTGAGCCCATGATGCAGTAGCTAGTGCAAGTCAGTCAAAGAGCATGTTTCCACATAGAGAGTTATCCATCAGTCACAAAACAGGTGAGTCAGCAGCAATTTGCATTGTTCAACATGCTGTGACTGAAGAGGAAGAAAATCACACTGAAGCTAATTGTATCTTATTTCAATTAATCATTTCAGTGCATAACTACTTATGTATATCCATAAAAACGTCATATGAAAAACCACCACACGCTTGCATGACTAAACACTATTTTTAGCTTCTGTCAGTCTCCCCAGCAACTTCTGAACGTGTTGCTCAATTAGTCTAAATTTGAAAAGACTGTGTGGCAGTTATCCCTGTCCTTATAATGTACTTAAAGTCAGCAGTCAGGTACAGAGGAGAACCACAGATCAGTGCACTGGACAAAGAATAGGCAGGGTACAACTGGTGTCCTGCAGCTTCAGCAGCAGCAAAGCAGGAGCCAAATAGCATAACTCAGGAGTGGTTGTAAAGAAGAGCTGAATATCACAGTGAAGAGAATGGCACTGTTCAAGGACAAACCCACAGATCTATAGGACATCAGGCTTCATTGCCTCTGCTTCTGCTACAACAACTTATAAATAAGCTCAAGACTCTAAAGGGCTCTCTGTGTATAGAGCTGTCAAAATAATTAGGGATAATATGGATAAAAAGAATGGAGTGCCACTGTCTGGCAATCAGAGCCATTCCTCCCAACCCTTCAGGCATACAATCCTGTTTTAGCAGTAATGCCTCATACAAGTGAATTGCAACTATTGCTTTCCAAAAGGTAGGACTAATACCACAGTCATTGAGTATAGCTTATTCACACAGTTGAAATATGTACTCTTACTGTGCCTGTGGGACTGATTTATGCGTGCATATCTTTGTTATGTCAAGCTCCACAAGCCTTTTAAAAGGTTACAAATCACAAGTGAGTTCACAGCAATGTTAAGGTATTACAATGACAAAACTAATTTACACAATTTCAAGGCACTGAATAAATGCAGTTTATTGACACAGTAGAGAAGACAGTACGGCACAAACAGAGCATACTTCCTGAGAAGTACCTGCAATTTAAATCTTGTTAATCTGATTGAAAAGGAAGCAAATCCACTAATGAACAATGAGACCCTGAAGTCAGGCTCCCATCCCTTGTCTTTGTGTGCCATTGCAGTTACAGAATTCTCAGAGAGGACACAGGGTTTGTCCTGAGAGAGGACACAAAGCAGAAACTGAAGATTTGTTTTATTGGAGATGTCACTACAGTAATGCTTAGTAATTCTCTGCTGCTATTCTGTTCCAAAATTGCAGTGTAATCAATTGGCACCTTTACCTTTCTTACTGTTCTTTGTGTATAACTGGCTGTAACACAAGAAAAAAATCAATAGGGCACAACAAGTAAAATGATGCACTACATAGAAAACAGCAAATTATGCCCTATAGAGAAGAAGAAATGGAAGATTATGTCTTTTACTTTTTTTGTTAAGTTGTGATCCTAGAAGATGAGTCTGTAGTCTGTGGTGTACCCATCAAGCTATATGGTTAAGTTCAGACAAACCAAATTATTTAAAATACAGTTCACATATGACTGGGAAATATTCCCAACTGTGCTAAGAATATCTGATCAGATCAGATCAGATCACCACATTTAAACATGCCTAAATTACTAGGTCATACATATTAGTTTTTGATGCACTAGAACTTCTAGGACTGAACCTAGTCAAGTCTTTATTTCAACTATGGTATATTATCAAATGAAGCATTTTCCTTCTTGTTGCAACAGTCCTTTTAAATATTTCTGTAAAAATGATAACAGTTTACAGGATAGAAAAAGAATATTTTCAATCAAAGCTAAGCATTGTAGTAGTAATAGTCTTCTTAATAAGATGAAAAATGCACACATGATTTATCTGTCACCACTATATTTCATACTTTAATACATTATACTTCAGGCTTTGCCATGTCAAAAGGTTTCCAATGACAAAGTTTAGCAGACCAGAAAAAAAATATTTAGATGCATGAATATAAATGCTAACACTGTAGAGTACAAGTTACGGTAAAAATCAGGACAATGACCTATGACACAAGTAACTGAAACAAGTGTTCAGCTTCAGCAAACTATTTTTTTTAATAGGTTTCAGGCCTATTTCAACTACACAGAAATCTGACAGAGACATCCATGCTTTTGGAAAAGATACACAAGCTACAGAAGCTACTTTATTTTGATTATCTCCCCGGGGCAGCTAAATACAAACCATTGCACCATTAATGCATGTAATGGATCAAAATTTACATGTCCAGACATTCAGTTAAGGCAGCAGTTGGTGATACCAATGTTCAATGAATGATTCAAAATGTGTCCAGATAACAGCAGACTAAACTATCACTTTCATGATCTTTATTTAGAAATTAGGAATCAAACATTGATAAATACACCATTTCACCAACAGGAAGGGGGTAAGAGTGCTCTACATCCAGAAAGAGAGGTACAAACCAGTTTCATGCAGACTGTTTATATGATAAAGCAGTGAAAGCTTTTCTGATGTTGGCAACAAATGCAGAAAAATTGTTAGTTTCTCTCAGTTTAAGCTGTAACTCTGCAATACAGTCCAGAGGAGGAGTACAGGAATTCACTAGAATGACACAAATTTGTAAAAGATTAGACTACTAATAAAAGAATAAATCCATGCCATTGTTTTTCTGCACCTATGAAATACTAATGCAATTTGTTATCTTTTTATGTTTTCATTTCCACCTGCATTATTTTGGAGAAGCCTCATTTTGTTTCAGCAAAGAGAAAGCCTCAAAGAACTTAACAGGTTTTTTGATTTCCTGACCTCCCACTCAGTGCTGTGCTCCTGCCTGAGTTGTTACAGCAATTCCCAGGAATCCATAGCCTACTCAAAAACTGAAACACACTCCTAAGCCATGATGTTGCTCTGCAGGCAAGCAGATTATAAACTGATGTAGCCCAGCATATGATAGACTTTTGAGTTCAACAGTTTAGGTCTGAATTAGTAAAACCAGAAATCTGTTCAGTTCATACCCAGAGGCATGGCAGAGCCCCAGTAGCATTTGTCTAGAAGCTATCTAGGACTCAAATTCCATAAGCAAGAGCCATATAGCCAAACCAGCTTTGAGATCCAAAAGGTTGCGCCCTTACAGAAGGGGAATGCTGGATTTCAAGTTTTATTCTTTCACCTATGTCACCCTTTTTCTGCCTCTAGGCTTCTGCAGCAAGTTGAAATAAGTCTGTCAGCATACACAAGCAGAAACTGTAGCAGAAACAAACTACAAATGAAGCATTTTCATCTCTGTCTGTGGTCCTTCTCTTGCTTTGCTTGATACAAAGTAAACAGCATCTCCACAAATGGAGGCCAGTGAATATAAGAAGTCCTATTTTCATGTAAATTAACAAGACAAACCTAATTAAAGAAACAATATTACCAGTTCAAGATTTTCCATTCAGGAATTGGAAGATAAAAGATCCCAATTAAGCTGCACTTTCCTCTGCTTTTTTCAAACAGAGGTGTCAGATTCAGTGCTCTAATTAAAGTATTCAAATTCACATACCTTCATAGTCCCCTTGTTCATTTATGGAAAGGGTACACACGTAGGGCTTATCAGGATCTTTGTGGTCAATGTGCCTGAATATAAACTGTAATTGCTCATCTAAAATAAACACAAACAGAAGTAATTAACACCATTAACCTCTGCTGCAGAGTCACAATGATGATTAAAACTCACAATACAAAATTAGTTTCAATTAATATTCCTAGAACACTGACAAATTAAGCAACCCTGGCCTCTTTGCAAGACAAATGCATTTTAACATATTTTGCCATTTGAGGGACAAATGTAGTAGCTGGGCTAATCCAACTGATCAAGTGTGAAAACTTTGTGCTCTTCACTGCACAATCCCACATGAACCACATTGTATCAGTGCACACAGAAACTGTGGAAGCTACAGAAACCTACCTGGGATTCTACGCATCTCCAACGCAAGATGCTCTTTAAACAATGTTTTAATCTTGCTCACTTGTTCCAGTTTCTCCTTGGCAGCTTTATTTTTAGAAGATTTTACTAGAATTTAAAAGTCCATCATAAGTATCAAAGGCAAAACAAGCACATAAAAAACCATCTAGAACAGCAGAAAAGCCACAAAGAGCAAGTGTTAAAAACAACCCCTCCTTCAATTATGAAAATTTACTTATTATCCTTTTTTTACTTACTTTCCATTTTCTTCATCAGCTCTTGTTTAAGCTCTTCAATGCTGTCCATCAAGTTCTTCTGCTGCTCTTGTTCTTGATTTAGCTCTGATCTTATTTCTGTCAACTGCTCTTCCTTTTCTGCTATGTATTTGCTCTGCTGGAGAATCTCTGAAAGGAGGCAAGAAAATATGAACATATACAGTTGATTAAGTTATGTCTCTGCTATTTAAAACTTAAGTAGTTTGACATTATTTATATTAATAAGACACAGTAGAATGCATGCTACCATAGCTGCAGAGAGAAGTTAGCTTAACTATACCAAATGGAAACTTAAAGTGAAAGTTATTCCTAAGAGAAGCTATAAAGTATGGAGCTGCTCAGATACTTTAATGAGATTAAATTTGCTTCTGGTGCCAGCACTACATACATATTCAAAGCATGAAGATGGTGACTCCTGCCCACAGGTAATGACAGAAAGCCAAGAATGGAAACATTGACTGATGAGAGAGTTGCAATCATTTTACCTGATATTCTGAAGTTTACAAAACTCAGCCAAGTTAACCCTAGACTGATGAGCTGACAGTATTCTCTTACTAATACGGAAAAGACATAAATAACTTCACAATACTTAGCTTTACTAAGCAGTTTAATTTAATTTTCCTACTGCAGTCAAAAATTCTGACACTACTGTTTTAAATACTTATGCTTTATGCAGAGAACATATTTTAGCATCATCAAGGAAGTTTTTCAACAAATTGCTTTTGACTTGAAATTTACATTTTCATTTATGTTGTAACCAACCCATTATGTTTGGGTTTAATTCTGTCTTCATTCTTATGTTATTACTTGCCTTTTCAAATGTGAAG